CTGCCTACGCCGACGGCCAGAGGCCCGCGCATCTACATTTTTTCGCCTGACCCCATCAGTGCCGACCCAACTACACCACCACGCGCATGCCTCGCGGCGGATATGCGCAGCAGCAAGAAGGTTTCGGTCATCCCTTGAGGGTGAATCTAGCCCTGCTCGCCAGAAAGACCCCCCCCTTCACTACAACCCATGTCTAAGCAAAAGCTTGTCGAGGAGCGAGGGGAAGAAGGGAGAAGGTAGTAGATGATCTAGTTTAATCGAAGCACAACGAAGGCGAATTTCTACGAATTGATCCGTGTTTTGGAAAGTAATTGAACATGAGTTTCACAGATAGGTCTGGTTCAATGGATTGTTTGATTAATGCTTTGAGTTTTGCGGGGGGCATCAGTACTTTGCGGGTGTCATTGCGGCGAAGTACTGAGAAAGAATGGATTAGAATAGCGTTTTGCAGAGAAGGAATGAAGGCGATGAGACAGAGACACAAGACATTGTGGGTTCAGGAACATTTGCATAATCGAGTTCTTGGTTATTTGTTGGTCATGGAGGAGTAGGATCCACGTTTTGGGTCGTAAATGGAATTATATTATTGACGTGCCGTATCATTACGATGCATACGAGCAGGGGGGCTGTTAGATATACTCGTAGCATAGTAAATAAAGATGGTTGAATATGGGACATGGATCTACGGAGATTGCAATTGGTAGGTTGCGGAGGAATAGGGAGTTTCGACTTGGTTTCTTCGGATATTCGATGAGTGATCTGAATTGCGTAACGGATGGGTGTTGTGACTCTCTGTTCGAGCCCTCGGACACGAGTGTTCTCTGCTGTCCCCTCTCTTTCAAGGAGTGATGCCGTGGGCGGTAGCTTCCACCTAGAGATAGATGAAGGTTCTGTCGTTGACACCCTTGTCCACGACCACGTTGAGATGGGCAAGCTGCTTGTTATTGCTGAGAGACGATCAGCAAGGGTCTGGGATGAAGTGGGGATCCAACTTCATCTCAGGGGGTACGCAGAGTTGACAATTCTCAGGGGGTAGGGGTCAGAGGGGTATACCTCCTGACCGACCCGCATCCTATCAACAATACGATGTACCCTATTCATGCTAGCAGCCACACTCCTTAACACTAGCCCACCCTGAATATCTATGCAAATTCTATACTCAAATCAATGCTCAAATCCTTAAGCTCCAGTAAGATTTAGCTGATGATTTATGATCATGAATCGAAGATATGACTCTTCACAAAACATCCAAAAGGAGGGTGAGTTGTAGACTTATCCCGAATCAACCCCCCACACCATAATTGAGATGAAGAATGCGAACGGTCACGACACGGAACATCGACATCTCAATGACAACGCTTGAAGGGATAAAGATACAAAGAATATATATTGCGGCAGAGCACGCTATCATCCTGAACAGACGAAGACAGGAAAAAAAGAATCAATATCCAGACGCTACACACCACTCTTTTACGCGCACCCGCGCGTATCACCGCTGGAGGAATGAGGGTGACTACCCGAGCGAGTACAAAATACGGTGACGAAACTCAAAACCCAAAATTTCCGAACGAATACGGCCTTTGATACTGGACGCGACGCAAAAGGAAAACTCAACGCAACATAGGACGTCAAGGAAGGGCAGGAGAAAAGAACGACAGGCAAAGGCACGGAGAACGATGGCCAGCGTGTCAGGGTACCCAACCCGTATAAGAAGACGGCAGGGGCAAGACCTAATGAGGACCAAGGATGCAAAGCACAAGCGATTAATGCAAGGGAGGCGGTCGACGAACTGCGTCATGGCTCGCGGGCGATGCGCACCATTCAAAGACATAAAACACAGAAGGTCGTAGAGATTCACACAACAAGACGACGACTCAGGGGCGCTACTGTGATGAGGGCGTCGCCCGAAGGTGGCGATGATCGNCAAGACCTAATGAGGACCAAGGATGCAAAGCACAAGCGATTAATGCAAGGGAGGCGGTCGACGAACTGCGTCATGGCTCGCGGGCGATGCGCACCATTCAAAGACATAAAACACAGAAGGTCGTAGAGATTCACACAACAAGACGACGACTCAGGGGCGCTACTGTGATGAGGGCGTCGCCCGAAGGTGGCGATGATCGAGACGAAGCAGAACGAAGTGTGGGTGACGACGAAAATCCATGGGAGAAGGCGACGCCACGGGATGGAATCCCGAAGCACCAAGCGTATGCAACACTTCTGCGGCACGATGGAACTAAAACAAAAGAAAAACAAGACAACATTAGTTGGAAAACAGGCGAACCAGGAAAAAGCGGGAGACTCGGTGTCCAAGTGCCCCAAGGCAAACATCACCGACAAAACTTGGGGAACTCTTTTTCCAAGTGTTCAGAGGCAGACAACACCGACGAAACTTCGGAGGGAGCTTGTCGAGAGAACCAAAGACCAACAACAACAAAGAAAAAATTTAAGCAAAGGCGAGAGAGAGCGGACATCCAGGTCGCGGCAGTTCACTGATTCAGATGAATGCAGGCAACAAGGAAGAAGGATCACTCGACACGCGTGTCTTGAGGCGGCGTTGCCCCAGCGTCCAAAACGGAAAATAAGCCAACGAAAGAAAAGAGACAATGCAGAAAAACAAAACAAGACAAAAAAAACAAAACGGGAGGTGACAGAAAAAAAACAAGCAAAACGTCGGCGAGAAGGATGGCACAGAAGACCAAAATAGGCCGATTGGTATATGAAAACGACGACGCTAAGAAGAAACGGTGGGAAACGCCGACGGTAAGGAGTCAGCAAGGAGCGGAGTGCGACCACGGTTGTCGCCCAGAGGGCGCGAACGATTTTTCTCTTAACACCATGATCCACAGACGGCGTCCAAGGCGGTGGAGTAGAGATGCGCAGGCAGAGGCAGAACGCTTGGGCCTGGGTCATCCAAAAATCGAACGATGTACGAGCCGCCCTGGTGAGCACCAATACGTCCGGTCCACCACAATCCATCACGGGCCTTGTACCACAGCCGCGTGCCAACAGGGAGGGGCGAAGTGCTGAAACGGCGAAGCAAAGCCATGTCGCTTTAAGCACAAGATCAGCCCCAGGAGGCAAAAAGCGTTCTCCACGATTCCGGGCTAGCTCCCGCTGTGCCGCGCGAGTTCGAGCCACTCGATATGTACGGTTACCCTGCTTGCTTTGGCAGGCCTCCCGGGACCAGTACAAGAGGATGTGTCGACGGAATAGATCAAGGTCGGATTCCCGTTCCCATGAAGGAGTAGTCAGGCCTACCCAGTGCGTCTGGTACAGGACAGCGAGAACGCCGCTACGGCCCCGCACCAGTTGATGTCCCGAGATGTAGTCGACCTCGAGGCGCCCGACAGGCACCGACATATCATCCGCAGTGACGTGGAAAGGTGGACATTTATCGCCGAAAGAGTGCAGAACATAACGCCAAAGCTCGGGGGGCAGAGATTGCGGCAAGTCGTCCGTCTCGTACGGATTGCGACAGGGCTTGCAACGAAGGACAGACACGCGACAACGAGCTGCCGGGCCGGAAAGATCGGAAGGCAGGTTCAGGTAGAGGAGTTTACGCGCCAACGGGCGGCCGTCCGGAGTGGAATCGGCAGAAGTGGGACCCACCGCAAGAACTTTGTAGGGCCCCGTCCAGGAAAGTGCGAATTTGGCCTTGAGCACCTGTTGGTCCGTGTCCTTCTGCACACCCTGTCGAATTGTAGCGGCCGTGTTGTACACCCAAGCCCACCCGCCAACAGTAAACTGAGGGAGCTTGTGAATGGTGTCCAGCAGGGATGAATTTCGGCGTTCGACTCGCGAAATCTTCAGCGCGTTGTACTCACGGACAAGTTCGTAGGCCCGGCGCTGGCGATGGACAGCCAGGTTGCAATACTCGAGTTGATCGCGGGCCAAGCTTTGATGACCACCTACCGTGGGACGATCGAAGACCGAAAGCGGGAGTCGCGGGATGCGTCCGATGTGGATCTCGTTTGGCGCTAATCCAGTAGACTAGTTCACGGAATTGCTGTAGGCAAACTCAACGTGCGGGATATGTATGTCCCAATCGTTTTGCTGTTCGTTGGCGACCACCGCAAGCATCTGACCCATCGTGTGGTTGACGCGTTCCGTGCCGCCGTTGGTCTGTGGGTGGTAGGAGCTGGTGGTGACCTTGATCATCATCACCTCGTGGATCGCCATGGAGAGCTTCGAGCAGAGATGCAGTCCATTGTCCGACAATAACGTAGTCGGACATCCCCACTTGGTCATGTATGGTTGACGAAGATGTGAGCCGTCCCTCTCGCCGTAAATTCCGCCGCTGTAGTAACTGCGAAAATGTAACACAAGACTTTCTCATCTCGGCCCCCACTGGCCGAGCTGCTTTTCTCCACAAACCTACAAGCTTCGGCCTACCCGGTTTACCCAACATTGTTTGTCGGGTGATGGCATTTTTTGTGTTCACGGCCAACCAACAACCAGGCGTTTGGTGGACAGCAGTGGACGGAGCAGTTTGGTGGTTTGGCGGAACCACACCATTGGGGGCCCGTGTATCACGTTTTTCGACCGAACCCCCAGTCAAGCGTAAACCCCCCGCATTCACCATCAGCCAGCAGCCAGCAGGCACAGCTACACCGCTACTCCACTCCTTGTACACAACAGCTAGGGTACGCAGCATTGATACCCCTCTTCACCTGTTACTCCAACAACGATTGGAGATGAAGCTCAAGCACTTGGAATCACACCTGCAATCGGTGACAACTTACAGCGAGCTTGGCGCCGAGAAAGTTAACATCGAGCTCGAACAGTACAGGTGTGTGCCCTTTATTCAAATCCACCTTCAGACTTCGGACTTATGAACGCATGTATTCATCTGTCGTGCAGCACCTGATGCTGAACTGCTGTACAAGGTTCTTGTATGTGAAGACAACAGCAGACACATCTGTGTGAGGAGAGCACATTGCTTTGGAGCAAGCTTGCTGACATCTTATCCACCATGGAGTACTGCAATAAATAATGTATGCGTTGATACTCTAGATCGACGATCGACGGCGTACGAAGGTACTTGTGTGTGCTTTTATTATAAGCATCGACCGCGCTAACCGACTGACCAATGAAAAGACGTCAGTCTTAGTGCGGTTGAAAACACAAAACACTTCTATCTACCATGGACTTGTGTGTGTGTGTTTTCGTCCTATTCATTATGGCGACAGTCCCCCCATTTTTCGTGGTGGGACGTGTACTACACTTTTCAGCGTTTGTAGAGTACTACACTTTTCAGTGCATTTTTTCGTACAACTACAACCATCCAGGGTCACACATGAGGGGGTAAACACCAGGGCTTTTTTCTTCTTTTTATTTCTTTTCATGCCCCACCTTACTCCTGCGATGCGTGCTGAATTTTATTTTTATCGCGAGAAGGTTCCAGCCGTCCCTTTTCCTCGTCAACGGTGCTAACGTCGAAGTTTGGTACTCACGAGAGTTTTTCAGCTATATTTCGCTTTCACCCGCAAATTTCATAAATTTTACACGCCATGGGGATTCGAACTCACGACCTCTGCGACTAGCGGATTACGAGGATACCACTAATATATAATAGACCACCGCGGCGACCGGTTCTTGAGACTACTCCTGTACAGCAGTACCATGTACCATGCGGCAGTACGCGTACCACGCTCACACGTCGAAGCTATTGCGACCGCTCCTTTGTGCACAAGCGCCAGTGAGTGTTTGCCTCTGGCTCGATTGCAGCACGCTGGGGAGACGCTGGTGGCGGAGGCATCATGCGCTTGAAAGAAGAGAGTGAATATGTGCCATGGCATTGGATTTCGCGTGCGGCAGTACTTCTCCTTCTGTAACCATTTGTTCCCACTGCAACGTGCCGCGTTCACCCAATTCATTGCCCTCTGTGTGCAGTACATCAGCTCACTTGGCAGCACGAATGGTTTATACGGCCGAATTCGAGTTTGGAGACATCGAAGACCGGAGCGTGCTCGACCTCGGTGAGAGGGTTGTTACATCAACTATTCGAATATCATATTTGGATCATCGAGGCTCTTCACATTTGGACCTACCACAACACGCCCCCACCCCCCTCTGCTGCTGTAGATATCCGTTCTTTTCTACATTTGTCCATCTTTACCACGGTATTTTTTTTTGTTCCAGGTTGTGGAACGGGTATGCTTGGGATCGCCGCCGGCATTCTTGGAGCCGGTGCTGTTGTGGGGCTTGACGTTGATTCTGGGGCGCTGTCAGCTGCAGCTGAAAACGCCGAATCGATGGGAATCGATATGGACTTAGTGTGCTGCGACGTCGCACGGAACCCGTGCATACCAGGTAAAAACAAGTACGCCTTTTTTCATGCTCGAAAGTATGGGTTGGATTGCAGCGCTGTGTGAAGAGTAGTACGAATTTGGCGGTGTCGTATGATTTGCAGAAAGATAGATTTGTTTGTAGCCCATTCGACAGCGCTTTTTTCCCGTACACGGGGAAACGTGTGATGAAAGCTGCATGGAGACTGCACATCTTTGGATGGCCCTGGGCAGCGACGAGTCGTAAATGAATCCAACCGTGGCCACCAGCACGCCGAAACTATTCGTACGTGAATTGTCTACCGTAAGGTAGCAGTAGGACCAACATACCGTGGACTGAAATCCTCATCAGCCCTCTGCGTGTTGTCTGCCCAACAGAACGATTTGACACGGTTTTGATGAACCCCCCCTTTGGAACACGGAGAGCTGGCATCGACGTCATCTTCCTGGAGCGTGCTCTCGAGGTATCTGTCCCGTTCAGACGTATGTTGTGCCTGAACCTGTTTCGTGCGGGCTTCCCCCATGGTTTTGGAGTTTTTATCGAAATTGGCATGCCAGTACCACGTTGAATCCTTTCATGCTTGGGGTTAAAAGTTTGGCTATGTTGTTGACAAGGGCTTGTATTGGGTTCTGAAACCGCCTTGCGGCACGTTTGAGGCCAAACAAGGGAGTATAAGCCTTCCGCATGACACAAGATCTACTAGAGTGGTGGAAGGAGGGATATCAGCCAGACGTACAATACAGATGGGACTCCGTGATGGAGGGTTTTCGTGGTGTTGTGCGTTGGCGAGCAAGGCGCATTTCCCAGACACGGCAACATCTTTCCGTTATGTTATGTGTTAATTACTTAACAATATTTCACATTTGAGGCATACGCTGAAATTGTCATCCTTGCTGTATTGCACGTATTTGTCGACGTCGTTTGCATGCATGCGCTTCAGGCTGCACCGACGGTGTACTCCATGCACAAAACTTCCACCAGAAAGGTACGAAAGATACACACCATGCTTCCTCTGCAGGTGTGAAATACTGGTCGCCCGAGTCTTTCGCTTTGTCAGGCCACTTCTCACCAAACCTGCTGTAAGACGTAGGCGGTGACGTCAATGTCAGAGTCATAGGGGGACCCAATGGTACTCCGAGCGACTCGTAGGGGCATATTGCTACACTCGAAAAGCCGTACCTGTGAAGAATTGCCGAACAGACTTTCAAACGCGGTCTTTGGGTTTTCGTGCCGTGGGAGACAACCATTTGCGATGTAAGATTGTGGGTTCAATGTTCCCCAGTAAAGTGTGCACCGCCCCCTCGTTTGGGCAATGTAAGGGCTTCGATGTTGTCCACGGTGTGACTGACACAATCTGCAGTTTGTAGCACTGCTGGGAGCGGCGCCAATTTTCGAGTACGGCAGCCGCACAGAGCTTCATAGCGAATGCGTTGCTCGTCAACGCTTTCGATCTTCCCTTGACGCCCGCCCGTTCCGCAGCACCTACTGAAGAAGGCGGAGGAATGGGGAGTGGACATTACGGTCCTGGCGCAGCTGCGTTTTGATATTCCTGCGACTTACAAGTTCCATACGCGCAGATCCATGGACGTGGAGGTCGATCTTATCAGACTGCAAAAGCGCTTGTCGCGTTCAGATAATTAGTGCTGAGAGCGGTTTGGATGCCAAAGGATGAGGGGGAAAGATGACGCTGGAGTTTGGTTTCGTGCTCAAAGAGCTTTCCCCACCTCGTGTAAATAGTAGAGTAGATGCATTTTTTTCGTGGGTAGCTTTTGTTAAAGGGTTGCCATGTAAGTGAAACGCAACAAGCAGTGGCAAGGGTTGTGTGCCGCGTGTTGGATATCTACATGGAGCAGTTTGTTGCGACTTCCATGTTTTGGTCAGAGATGACCGGTATTTGTTGTGTGCCCGGTAACAAATGAATAGGAGGTGGTCTTGTCGGGCAGCAAGTGGATGGTGTACGGCACGCTCGTCCGAATGTGTGTAACGTTGGGACGTCGGGCATGCGGCATTCCACTTCAAGTACGGGGCAAATTGGTTGAATGCCTCGTCTTGACCATACCAACATTTTCACCATTCCAGAACGCGGGTCGGTTGTACCAGCTTTGCACTTTCTTGCGATTCTTCTTGAGTTATTTTCCTTGCGTTAATATGGTTTACGTGTGTACGAAGTACGTAAGTACACAGCAGCCGCAGCGTCACTTGGCGTCACCACTAAGATAGTTGGTCGAGACTACTACAAAATTGTAGTAAGTGGTGCAACAAAAAAAAAATTGTGTACATCATGCCTGGTGTACAGTATTCATCTATTTTCTAGAACTGTGCGTCCAATACACCCACCCACGGTTCCCACGAAGTTCGAAAACGATACACACATACAAGCTTGTGTCGTCTGAGTTTGCTGTACATGGTGAATTAACCGGAGGAGGTCCTCCCTGCACAGAGTTATGCATATGATACAAGCAGGTATACCCCTTTCCTTTCTCTTATTTTGTTTTCTTGTTCCGAGTGGTTTGTACCCTATTTTTGTTTTGTTTCCCCGCGGCGTCGTATTGTTGTTGTTGTTGTTTGTCTTCACATTAAACCGTATGTCAGTTGCTAGATGCCAAAATCTAGCAAAAGACTCTCAGCCCGTGGTCACGAAAGTGTTAGAGCCATCTGAGGATCTAAAGAACACGCACACATCTGACGAGAAAAAGGTATGCAAGAGCCCGAAGAGGTACACCTAAAAATCCCTGCAGCACCGTATGCGTGCCCAAAAACTGAACTGCACGTCCGTCCCACCGTTCGACTACAGTAGCATCACCCCCTCCCTGTCCCACTCTGTACCAAAACGGAAGATTGCCGACTACAGCATAATGCTGTCTGAAGTGCTGTCTGTAAAAAAACGCCATGGTAGGCATGGAACAAGCAGCTGGCGGGGCACAAAGCTGCTGTCTGAAGTGCTGTCAGAATGTGTCTGCGGCCGTACAGTGAAAAAGAACAACCAACCAAAGCCATCATAGCAGCAATTGACAATCACCCGAATCTCTCCCGATCGTCTGTGTTAGGCACTGCAGTGAAAAATATCGACACTAGCTAAGAATCGTTCCACATTGAAGGGGTCTTCCACGATCAGGCACATAACCAATGCACCCGGGTTAGCCACGCCATCTCTGACGGGTCTCTCTACAAAACCGGTGACGATGTCATCACATAGAACCAACACCGAAAATCAGGAAAAAAACGAGAAAAATTGACAACACAGATCAGATATAAATGTTTGTCCGTGCGCCACGGGTCGATGTCGCCCGCATGCTCCGGTGCCGCTGCTCCGTCCGGCGCCGCTGTAGTCAGCCCGAGCATAACGCCACTCGACCTGCTCCGTCCGTACACGCTCTCGTTGCTGTCCTTCCCAGTCGGTTCCTCGCTTTCTCCCTCGTTGCACTCAAGGTTCTTGGTCTGAAAAATAAAAATTCTCGCGCCGAAGGGGTCAACCAGCCCAGTTCAGCTCGTCGCCACCTGCTCCCTCCTCCTTTGATGGCGAAGCCAGGTTACTGAGGCAATGCAGCTCCCTCTAGCCAACCTAGGGCCGGGTACATAGTTCCCGTCCACCTTCTGACGGTGTCTGCCTCCGCGCACAAAAAATGAGATGGGCATCGCTGCCTACGCCGACGGCCAGAGGCCCGCGCATCTACATTTTTTCGCCTGACCCCATCAGTGCCGACCCAACTACACCACCACGCGCATGCCTCGCGGCGGATATGCGCAGCAGCAAGAAGGTTTCGGTCATCCCTTGAGGGTGAGTCTAGCCCTGCTCGCCAGAAAGACCCCCCCCTTCACTACAACCCATGTCTAAGCAAAAGCTTGTCGAGGAGCGAGGGGAAGAAGGGAGAGATGTGCCGGGTTTTGAGACCACGGGCTCCCCATGTTTTTGTGGACTATAGAGTTAATGAGAAACAACAACAACAACAACACCCCCAGGTTTGTTTTTTTTTTTCTAATTATGACCCAACGAATCCGTCTTTGTCATGAAACGAGTCTCATTTCATCTATGAATTTTTTTGGTTCGACAAAAAATATATATACACGCGCGCAGATTTCCTCTTGTACGAAAAAAACGCCACCGGCGACATCGCCCTGCGCGCCTTGCAAAGGCCCGCACGACAACACACGCCTACATTCTCTCGGCTCCCCCCTCCACGCCCGGCCCAGATCCCGAGCCTTCTCAAGCCTTAGCGTCGTGCATCAACGTACACGCGGCGGTTCCTCAACAAGAAGTAAGCTTCGAGTATGGCGCTCAGGTCCTTGAGCCGAGCCGGTGTTGAAATGGGTGCGAGGGTAGCTGGAACGGGCAGCAAGTGTTGTCGGGTGCCTCACGCCACCAGGCACGTGGGTGGGACTGAGCGGAAGATGTCATCCGTCGTCGGGCAGGGGCCGGGGCACCAAGCACCGTCTTTCCGACAAGGTGGGACCTCTATCTAGAGGTGCTTGATATCCTCTCCCGTAGAGTATGGAAACACCATGAAGCGTCGTGGACTTCCAAGATGGTCTTGGTTCGCTCGCCTTCGCTGTTTCCCGCACCCTCGTCTCCGGTTTTCCCCTCTGATCCTCTGGCAAATCGCCATTTCAGGAAACTCAATCAATGAGGCCTGCTGCCTCTTTGCTAAGCTACTATCGTGTGTTATTTCGTGGTCACTCAGTGCTTTTTATTCGGTTCGCGTCCGTTTGCATAGGGACTGAGCACACGTCATCGCTCGACACAACAGCAGTAGACTATTATTTAATACTAACAGCGAGGCAGCAGTGTACACATACAACGTAGGCTGAGGAGCGAGCCGGCCGCGTTCGTACAGCAGTAGGTACAACAATGTTCTCGGCCGGGTCATGTCTCACCAGTAAGGATTGAGTGAGACCTTCTGCGGCGGAGGGACATGTGCTAGGCAAGGTCTGCTGTCGCTTCTCCGTGTCACCGCCGTGTCTCGTGTCGCAAAACGTCACCGGCTGTGTCGGCTCTGTACTCACGGTTGTAGCTTTCGTCGACAGATTAGATCGTTATGTTGGGCCGCACTCGGAGAACCTAACCTTTGATGAGGTCGTGGGTTGCAGCGTTGCAGCGTTCAGCTCACACCAGTATTCCGACTACACTTGAAATAAAGCCAGAGATGACTCTCTACAAAGGCAGAGGCAAGCGCATGTGGCCGTCAGGCATACATAGTTGATATGAAGAAAAGTAGGGGAGGTGATCGTGTTTGACTCGTTTGGACGAGGAGCAATTTTCAATTTTCGAGATGGGAAGGAAGGCACGCGCCGACGCACCCCTATCAACGACTTGTACATCTGGTGAAGCAGGCGCGCAACCCTGCCCAGTCTACAAGAGGCACACAAATAAAAAATAACACATTGGCTGGTGTCGATGTACATCGCTGTCCATCGGTACGCGCTCATTCCACAGCGCCGACTAGCCGCCTGTCGACCTTCACGAAGTTCAACCTGTCGCCCTCCTTTGAACGGACTGCGCAGTTGTTTTTGTATTTGCTGTGCAACTATTAATAGTTTACTTGGCAATTTCCCTCTGGGAGTGTCGGGTTTCGCCTCTGTGCATACAGGAGCAACTATTTTTTGCCAATTAGGAAACAAATCGGTATTTGCATTTCGTGTGTCCTCTATTTATATGTGCGTTAAATCTTTTGTTTGTGCTGCAGTGTGGGATTCACGCAGTGGTTTCTGCTGTTTAGTGCATACTCTCTCTCTCGCTTTCTGTGTTTTCCCTTACATATCTATGCATATCAAAGGCAGTTAGTTCGTGTTTTGCATTAGGCAGAAGGATCGTTACCCCTTTGAACAGCAGTAAGGTTCAAACGCCGTAAATCTTAATAATTCGAGGTAAACTCTGCTTTGTTTCTGCTCGCGCGATCGAGATGAAGCGACGCAGGGGAGGTATTTGGTTTGCCATTTCTCGAACAAGGCGCGTAGTCAGAGGTTGGATACAGTAATTGTACTGACTTTGCCATTTGTTAGTACAACGGGCGAGTGCCATTTCCGCGCCAGTCGAGATGGCGTGTAAAGTTGTCGTGTCTGATACATGGATTACGGGTGTGTGGATCAGTTGTATCGTTACACCTACTTTATCCATTCAAATCGCATCCGTCAAAGGAAGCTATGGATGAAAAGCCAGTAGGTTGAACAGATTATGCGACGTGGGCTGATCGAACCGATAGACACGGTCACAAGCAGTAGGACCGAAAAGGGTACCGTTTGTGCTGCGGTATACCCTTTGCGATGCATGCAAAAATTCATCAATGTAGCCGAAAAGTTCTCGACACGTCCGTCGGCAACCATGTGAATGTCGTTCATGTTTGGTACCCACCTCCCTGGCATTGCCGCCCTTACGTGTTTCGTCGTCACGCGACTTTTGCGCAGGATCGTTGGGTGCCGGAACGCAGCTGTTTAAGCTGGTGGAGACGGACCTCATGTCAAAGGAGCTCACTCGCTATGGTCCTGCCGATGCCGAACATTTGGGGCTGCACTCTATCCAGGATGTGCTGTCCGACATCGCCGCCGCCACCCTCACGCCCCACAAGATCGCCGCACCTACCGTCACTGCGGCTGCTCCGTCTGCGGAAGTGGCGTCTGTGTCGGCTTCGGACGAGCGGGCGGCATCGCCAGCTGTGCGAGCGGAAGAGGTGCTTGCCGCATGGGGGCTGGGACCTACGGTGACAGACGGTTCCGAGGTTGAGGGCATACAGGCACCTTCCGTGGGAGAGGTCGGGGAAGAGGGAGGGGAGGTATCGAACGAGAAGATGGCAATCAAGCGCACTTATCAGCCGAGCACTCTCAAGAGAAAGAGGAAGCATGGCTTCCTGTACCGCGCCAAGACGCGCCTGGGCAAGAAGATCCTGCGAAGGCGTCAAGACAAGGGTCGCTGGAGGCTGGGCATCTAAGGGAACCGGCCGGTTTGTTGCGTCCCCTTCCTCGGCGCGTGGGAGGCACATCGTTGTACATAGAGTTGGTGATTTGGAGCAAGTAGTAGAGATTTTTCGGAGGCAACGTGACAGTCTTCTCGAAAAGTCAAAGTTCCAAATGGGAGAAAGTATCCAGACGGCGTAGAACCGGGCAGGTCGACTGTTCCCTGCTCACACGGAGGCGACCTTTTGCCCCCGGTTCAACTTGTCTTGTGTGCGCTCCTCTGGAGGCGGCATGTCTTCTGCGCATCATTCGTAGTTTTTGTTGTATTCGTAGATTTTTGGTCCCTTTGCATGAACACATGCGCATAAGTGCAACATAAACACGCAGCACCACGCAACAACGAGGAAGGAGATGGTATAGCACTGCAGGGTCGGCCGTTGTTTCTGAGTTGCGCCTTATTGACCTTGAATTTTTCTGAGCATCGATGTGCCTTGCGAACGAAATAGGAACCGTTCTTGTTGTAGCTTGTAGACCTGAGGTGGAGTTCCGGTATCTTCCGTGTCTCTCTTTTAGTAGGCGGGTGGGATTTGATTTGACTCAGGCGACAGTTTCTGGTTGAAACCGTGCTGAAGCTCACATGTTTTCACTCGATAGCACTCGGGCAGATCAATGACTTTGAACGGTGTGCCAGATATTTTTGTTTTTTTCTGAAATCCTGGTAATCTTTCGAACATGCGCATGAAAGTTTTGAATGCGGGCGACTTGTTACCTCCAGGCTATGCGTCGTTCTGAGAGGCCGATACTTTCAGCGTCATGGTCTTGTGTTCAGACCCAACCGTAGCTGTGGGAATCAACAGCTCAAGAGGTTGTGGTTGATGCGCTCTTACGATGCCTCAAACACCAACACGGAACACGTGCTTTCAGACTCAGACATGTCCCACAAGTTTTCACTCGATAGCACTCGGGCAGATCAATGACTTTGAATAGTGTGCCAGATATTTTTGTTTTTTTCTGAAATCCTGCTAACCTTTCGAACATGCGCATGAAAGTTTTGAATGCGGGCGACTTGTTACCTCCAAGCTATGCGTCGTTCTGAGAGGCCGATACTTTCAGCGTCATGGTCTTGTGTTCAGACCCAACCGTAGCTGTCGGAATCAACAGCTCAAGAGGTTGTGGTTGATGCGCTCTTACGATGCCTCAAACACCAACACGGAACACGTGCTTTCAGACTCAGACATGTCCCACAAGTTTTCACTCGATAGCACTCGGGCAGATCAATGACTTTGAATGGTGTGCCAGATATTTTTCTAAAATCCTGCTAACCTTTCGAACATGCGCATGAAAGTTTTGAATGCGGGCGACTTGTTACCTCCAAGCTATGCGTCGTTCTGAGAGGCCGATACTTTCAGCGTCATGGTCTTGTGTTCAGACCCAACCGTAGCTGTCGGAATCAACAGCTCAAGAGGTTGTGGTTGATGCGCTCTTACGATGCCTCAAACACCAACACGGAACACGTGCTTTCAGACTCAGAAATGTCCCACAAGTCCATGCGCCGACAAAGGAACGGCCACCGCCAGTTGAGCTCCTTAAGCGTTGCACCCCGTCGTTCACACGAACAGGAGGGATCATCTTTGACGGAGGGTGCCTCACAGCGTACGCCGCTTGCCCCACCAAAAACTAACGCTGAAGCTTGTCTCTAGCGACTCGATGTGGTGCCAAAATAGCGGAGGGATGTACAACACCTCCCCTTTCCTCAGCTCGCATTCCATCAGCGGCATTATCTCCTTGAATCGAGGATACTTGGATAAGTCAGGGTTCGCGGCATCAACCTCACTGGTGTTGCTCATCAGGCCTGGCCTGGGGTAGACTGCCGCCGATAATTTTCGGTCCACCAGCAAAACCTGACGGCGCACGAACGAAAACAGACGTGTTCAGAGAGGATGTCAGACTGAGAGACAACTTGATGGATGCATGAGCTCCACAACACGTCGCCAACGACGGCTTGTGGCGAATGTGGAGAGTCGGAGATGTATAGGCGCGGAAACACTTGCCCGTTTGGTGCCGACCACTTGTGCCAGGAGGTTGTGGAACGGGTCGTTATGAAGCGGTGATACTGTCCCTGCTGGGCCGAACCATGCGTTTGTGGCGACGCTTTCCGCGTCTCCGTCGTCTTCCTCGTCTTCGAGAAGAAGAGCACAGTAGTCCGGGGTCATGATGTCCCGCCTCAGTGCAGGAATCTGATCGAAAAGCTGATGTTGTGCTAGGTAAGCCTTTTCCTTGCCTTTTTCTCCAAATGACGTCTTTTTGGCGACGCCGCCGGGAAAGGAGCCTTCTCCCTGGTCCCCTGTGTCCGAACAACCTTTATTGTCAGTAGGGGACTCTTCCTGTGAGTGCGATTCGATGAAGCGACCGATGAAATCACCGATGGTCATGAGCTCCTGCCTCCAGCCTTCTCCTGTGTATGATCCACCCAACTCAACAGGAACCGTGCGCCTCCCCGCCACCTTTTTAAGATACGATGGATTCGACCAGTTCCGTGACGCCCCCATGGCTGGCCAGCCATCCACGACCTGCGCAGACGTTATACGAAGAGAGTGGAGAAGGAAAGTCATAACCAGATGGCTCAGTAGAAGCACGTGTGTGCTGTCCTTCCTTTCCGTCGTTGCCGACGAGGCGAGTCTTCGCCCCTGAAAACTCGGCGCCTATCGCACCCGGCCATGGGACTACGCATAGCCTTACAAACCTCCACAAGCTTAAGGGCGCCGGGGGGATCGCATTACCTCCTCTTCAACAATCCAGGCAACGCCTGCATATCTCAGTTTTCCAAAGTCTAGTCTTACTCCAGTGCGAAACTACAATAGCAAATTTACCGTCCGCTGACCCCCCCTCGCGCACACGATACTGAGATTGTGACCCTTGCGATACACTACAGAATAGCGACCCGCGATTTTCCAAACAATCCTTGTATCATCGAGATCGGTGAGCTGCAAGCAGGAGGTTTGAAGCTGCTGTGCGGTCCGATTTTGCAACCCTTCAAGCACACAGTGACAGAGAATCACCGCCTATGTGAGTGTGTGGGGCCGCGAACTTCAGCGCAGCTCTTACTCCACATGTCCAGCTCGTCGCCATTGCCGATGCCTTGGGTCATGTATATACAGGTCTAGCCGTAACCAAAGGTGTTTGAAGCGTTTCAAAATCGGACCGCACAGCAGCTTCAAAACTCCTGTTTGTAGCTCACCGATCTCGATGATACAAGGGTCGTTGGCAAAATCGCGGACCGCCAATCTGTAGTGTATCGCAAGGGGTACAATCTCAGATACAAACATGTTTTACGAGGAGGGGTCAGCGGACTGTTAGTTTGCGATTGTAGTTTCGTACTGGAGTTAGACTTTGGAAAACCTGAAGATACAGGCGTTTACTGAATTTTTCAGAGGAGGTACTGCGACCCCCCCCCGCGGCCTTATTACAGTACGGAATGCAAGCACACAGAATAAACAACAACGCGTCACTCGAAAAATCTTTCGTGATTCTGCTCTGGAGCGAGAATGTTTCGCATGGACTCAACCAGACCGGATTCACAGGCACAATATGCTGCTTCTATTGGTGTCCCTTCACTCACCCCTGAGAGAATGACGGGTGTTTCTGTCTCCATGTAGTCTCTTCGGAACACATCCAGTGGGGGCATTGTAATACGGCGAATGCCGCCACCCGAGCCTGGCCGACCCGTGGCCATCGAACGATCACGTTTGGCCTTCTTTGGGCGGCCTCCATCCGGTGCCGAAGCTGCGCGAGTAGCGACCGGCGCTACCCCAGAAGATGGTGACTGGGCTGCACCAACACGTGGTGCAAGATCTGCCTTTGACAACGAATCCGCCTCCATGGCCTCGACGAAGGTGTTTGCGACGCCCTGGAAACGTCCACCGGCCATCATCGCCACAAGGTCGAGTGCGTATACTGCCTGCAGGCCGCGCGACATGAAAATATTTGAATAAAAATATGCGGGCAATTACTACGGAGGTATCAACGTTGCAAGGCACCAATTTCCTAAACAGCAAACGTACCGATGATTTTCTGGCATGCACTGCTGTTTCACCTCGAGCCAGCATGTCACGGTTCCACGGAGACACGGAGACTCACATTGTCAAGGCTGTCCGCCTCTCCAGATATGTACGTGGCAATAGCCACTAAGGTGCCAGACACTCCGTAGGCGTCTCTGTGCACTTTGGCCACCGTCTGCCAAGACTTACCACTGGAAATCGCAAGCAACAGCAGCCATGAACACGGGAAAGCTGGTTACTGACAGAAGAACATCGAGAGTCCACAACTTGGTGAGCAACAGGGATGGTACTTACAAGAGTAGGCAATTATTGTAATCATGCCGCATGATACTCCTAGACTATAAATATACCTGTACTTCGTAGTCTACATCTTCTACTTGCTGTTTTTGTACTCGCTTTCTTGATGCACGTGAGATGCTACACGATTTGTAGCGTGACCACAAGGTTGGGGAGAGTTTGATGTAGTGACGTTCTCATCAACACGTTGGATACACATGTGCTTTCGGCAGATCTTGCCTTTAGGTCTTCCCATCTCCATTGTTGTACCTCCACAAAATACGCTGGTTGTGCCACTGCTGTACAGAAGTTTATGCATATGTGCATCATGAATCATGAATGATTTGATTGTCCGGCCAATCTCATCCTTCCGCCCTCATCCCTTTTCACCTGTGCAGTTGTTCCCATGCGTACTCCCTAGCTTTGAGAGCAACCTCATGACAACGCGTCCATCGTCCTTCTTCCAGATGTTGGATCGCGCGCTGCACTAGCAGGGAGCAGGGTTTGGAGCCTACCTTTTCCAATTCCAATGCGATACACTGGAAGAGAGCGGTAGAAATCTGTCGATCTGAGAGTAATTCGTCAATAACCCGTGATCTCTTCTCGGTGTCGCTTTCCATCTATCGTTGAAGGTGTTGTAGGGAAGCCAGAGATCCAGAGCGAAGAGAGAAATAGCGAGACACAAAAGGAGCACACGGAGCAAAGAGCAAAGGGCGAGGGGGGCACGCATACAGCAGCGAAAATTTGTGGGTGTGTTGCAATGGTTGACAGTCCCTTGGGCTGGTGTTCGTTCATCTACTTGGTGTGCGTGTCCTTGCCTTGTGCATCCTTTACAACATACCAAATAGAAAGAATGGGCATCTTGTACAGTGTAGAAGGTTGATACCAGTTGCACTCGCGGAATTAGCTCATTATGTTGAGGGTATTCCTCGATGATGCTGAGCTTTGTGAGTGGCAACGCCTAACTAGATTAACGGCGCAACTAAGTATACCATCGGACATGTATATTTTCGCAACTAGCTCTGCGCATTATAGTCTATGCCACAAACGTGGGTTAGAGACACCTGCGCAGGTCACAGGGTTAAACGCGCTCCACATTTCGTTGCGTTCTGTGCCTAGCACGAGAGCACACGCCCTTCTTGTATAGCCTCGCAAAGTTCATTGTGCAGCGCGAGTGGTGAGAAGCAGGAGTTTTTTTGTACTCTACTTCAATCAGCGCTCAAATACATGCGGTAAAAACACGTACTTCTGGTATGCAGATCTAGTCTAGGGAGGAATAGTTGTGCCGTTACCCCCCAACCCGTGGTCACACAGAAGGGTTCCTCTCACTGAGGCCCCCTATCCACCCCTCCTGCTGTGCTTGGAATCTTGGTATTCAACTGGGGCATGGGGACCTCTCTGTGCAGAGAACAACAGTCTCGCGTCGGCTCATTCTCCCCAGGGTGTCACGAAGCCATTCGCGAGAGGCGGGAAACTACACCATAACGTGTTTGCATAAGGTTTTCTATGTCAACGAATCCGAACGTACGTCTTTCCCGCGAGCGCACCAAATCAACAACAAACAGTTTCAGGACAAAAAGTACGACAACGCTTAATAATAGAGAATACGTACCGCAAGTGCCCCCATCCCGTTCACAAGAAACATCGTCACAAATCGAGCCGCAGAATTTTGGAAAAACAAGAAGGGCACAGAAAATAAACGGTCTCAGCCGCCGGCGACACACGAAAGAGACTCCTGCATTTTTGGTAAGCCTTGCTGAAAAAGCGGATGCTTTTTCTAGATACAAGCGGGCCGGCGATGTGAATAAACCCCATTACTCTTGCGCTTCAAAGGAAAACTCTGATCACTTTGAAAGGCCTTTCCACAAAACTGGCGAGATGATGTTATCGAAACTGATGTGCGGTCACAGCCGGCACAACTTGACGCGATGTTGACGCGATGTTTCGTACAGAAAAGCTGCATAAAGCACGCACGCTCTACACCCCGACAAATGCGTTCAGGTCCTTCACACGAGCGCGGCGTCACAGCTTCTCCAATGCTGCTCGTAACACGCCTAGTTTTTCTACAACAGCTTTTCGGAGTGGCGACTCCATCTCACTATTTGTCCCCTCCCCGCCAGCGCTAAATACCTCAAAAAACGCCGCCAAACTCTTCTCCAGATCGTTCGCTCTACCCAACAACTCCCCGCCATCTAAGGGAGGATACAACAATACTCCGACTTCCCCAGCGCACTCGTTCGCGTCGTCCAGATGCGTCTGAACTGATTTCGCCCATTCCAGCTTCCCTTGTAACCACCCCTCTCCCGCCGGTCCAGCAGTCGCCCCAGACTCCTCTTGCGGCTCGGGCGAGTCCAGTGAGTTGAGGGAATCGTTGGCCGCCTTCAGGCAACGTCGGAACACCCGCAAGACGTCAACGCTCGCCTCCACGCATGATAGCTCCGCCGCCCCATAATTCTCGTCCATGCCATCAAAATCAAAGTCGTCGAAAGTTCCTTCAGCTCCCACCTCGCCTTCCCCGGCACCGCCCACGGTTACCTTGGCAGCGAATTGTTCGTCTAGCCCGCCTTTGTCCCCAGCGGATTCCGACTTGCCGGCATTAGCCATTGCGGCGGTCTTGGCTGCCTCGACAAATTCGTCGATTGTGTCCTTGACCGCGACACTCCACTACGTGGAAGCGGGCAAGATGTGTGGTGGACAATGAGGGGGGGGAGAGCAGGGGGGTGGGGGATGAAACGCGCCGACAACGTGCACACAGATTCACGGCGTTAGCGATGACACGAGCTAGCTGAATAGGTGGAGCCTGTGACGCAGGCAGAAGAAGGTCAGCACGATCGGGTTGATCAACTGTCGGGGCGAGATTCTTGCTGGTCGCGCTCAGGGACGTGCTGCGTACATTATCACTGCTGACGCGGAATCGTATGTACCAATCGCCCGGTATAACCGGCATGCGTCTTCCACTAAAACCCCGCCACATTTAGTATTCACTCCTGAAGGTTAGTTCGGTGAATGAATGTGCCCGAGGGGAGCGTGTGTTATTTCGGGTGGAGTTCTGTGGGGTATCAAACCGCGTACATCTCGTTAGGAGTGTGGCATCTCTTCCTACAAAGCTTTTATGTGACGTGGGTTACGTTGTATCCCTCTGGTTGTATCTTGCCGTGAGTTCAGTGCTGGCTTGCCACTGCAGGAATGTTGGGAACCGCTGCTCCTCATCTCTTTCACGACCTTCCACAGTTCCGACGCCTTATGCAACACCTACTACCGCTGTTACAAGCGTCATATGCCGCACATATTGCACCTTCCGCGTTGCGAGTCCTGAACCACAAACCCATGTCGACGTGTACTGTCTCTATGCTGTAAACGAATGACAGGCCTGGGCATCACACCTACATTGTGAATGTTACGCCACGCACCTTCCAACGAAGTCATACACAATCTAGGTGCGTTACCCAGGCCTGTCATTCGGTTACAGAATAGGGACGTACGCGCCGAATTTAAAGTGGTAGGGCGGTGCGCCGAGGCATTGCGGTGGTCACTATTGCGGCTCCGGTCAGCGCTACGTTCTTAGCTGCGGTTGCTGTGGCGGTTGCGAACCGCTGTTGTTGTAGGTGTCGTCACGACGATGGTTGGTGGTGTTGTCGCGATCGCTGTTGTTGCTGGTATCGTTCTGGCTGTTGCGGTTAGGTCACGCCATCACAGCAGTTCGCGCACACAGGTAAAGTGGCAATGGCTCAGATCTCTTCGTTCACACTTGGTGATCAGAATCACCAAGTAGGGCATCGGATTGAGGAATCCGATGCGGGTACCCGCGGATTGGAATCAAGAGGTGGTGACACATCTGGATCCATAGTCCTATCAATCCACGCCCTCCATGCTCAGAGTAGTCACCTCTGCGCACTTCAACGTACTTAGTTGCCTGCGGGATAAACACTTCAGGCTCCCGTGGGGTCATCGGTCTACCGCCGCTACACTCATCACATTTGAAAGGGTCGAGCGTGTTTTCGAGCCGGTCGATATTATACTACAAGTGGGATTTTCGCGAAAATACGTAAACTTGCGTAGGACACGTCGCAACCCATGGGAATCGCGTGACCAGCTCACAGCAGAACGAGCTAGCCTCGGGCATGAGCACTACAGAACACGACCCGTTACATGAATACGAGCCTCCAAACGCGCGCTGCATTCGTGAAGGATTCCAGCGACTGGATACATGCCGTTGCCCACCTGCATCATCTGACGCCGGCAGGCTAGCTTGTTCGTTTTTGGTGCCTGCTGGAGCTCTTTGCACGTTTGCCACACCTGGCGTCAGAGCAAGTGCGGGTGTGATAAAGCCGGGATTGTTGTTCCAAACCATGCAAGGTGGTACGATGCAGCATTTAAGCATTGCAGTCAGGCATTGGGAACATCAGGTCTGGGGCGGGCGTCGGGCAGGCATAGCTCAGCAGTACACACAAGTGCATCTTTCCGTGAAAAATAGACGTTCAGCGTGTCTGTACTTTCACCCGCCGCCTCACCCTGAAACCCACGGAGCCTACCACAAGAATACATTCTAGATGCACTGCTCAAGGCAGAGCTTGGCCAAGACCAGCCCTCTGAAGGGACCCAGATCCAACCCTACTCTGGGTAAACCCACCGCATCATATCAGCACCGCTCCCTGAAACTCACCGTCCCTGTGAGGCCGTTGAGACGTGCGTGTCGGGACGGGTCAAGAAGTGCGCCTATCAAATCTTTCACGGAGTGCAGAACCGCCCTTACTCCGGCCGAAAAGTACGTCACCATGGATTTTGAGGCCCCAACAGACGAAAGCAGCCTGCAAAACACGAAGACAGGGACAGGACCGGTTCACAGTGTAATACTACGCGCACGGAACAGCAGAGTGTTTACTCGGCTATGGGACCGGTACTATTGACGCCGCCGTGATACAGCGTAGCACGGGCCTCAACTCCGCAGCAGTCATGCAGGGCTCTCGAAGGCACTGGGGAGAACATAACAGCGAGACGACGACACCCGAAGCAACCAGCATTGACTCACGTGAGAGACGCCACCATCTGCTGACAAAAGCCTCCCATCTCTCTCGACATGCTCTCCGAAGCCACCTCCGACGGGTTGGCCTTGTAGACCAGGTTCAGCCGGGTCACGCCGTCGTGAATGGATTGGCTAGCCTGTGTGAACGCGCGTGTGCGGAAAATGCTGAGAGGTACGTGAGGGTGATTGCTGGCCTGGTTACATCCGATCGATGAAGGGCAGACTCAAGGTAAGACTGACTACAGCACGCTGGGGGACTGATGTTCCAATACAACCGCCGCACCCAAACAGTCCCGTCCTTCCCATCCATTGTTCTTTTCTCAGCCTCGCCAAGAAAAGGTGCTCTCCCGTCGGCAACTATGTTGTGGCATTACGTACGTGCACACATTGCAGGAAAAATAAATACAAAGACAGAAGGACTTACTTACTGTACCCGTTCGAGATATAAATATAGCAACAGTCTTTGCAGTGAGTGAAAGGAAACCGATATTGTTCAACTTCGTCCATTAGAAGAAGTCTAGCGGCTGGCTAGAGTAAACAATGAATATAGGCAGAAGAAGAATGGGGAACGAGAACAGCACAACAAGTCAAGTCTACTATACTGACTGATACTACTGCACCTCGAGATATGCCTGCATTCTGTTGGGTTGCGGACTGCTCTGTGTGTGTGTTAAGAGCGGGAAAAAAAAGTACTTCGAAATGAGTCGGGAAAAGAAAAAACCCCACTTCTGGGGTTCGAGCGGCGATCAGTCCGCTCTCTAGGCTTCTAACCCGGGTTTGCTGTCACGATGCCAGCATACTCCGCTTATCCCGATAGAGAGCACCAATTTGCCAAACTGAACATCTAGCCACGATCCAAAAAACTCGCTTCAACAAAATATGGTGGAAATAGATGTAGATAGACATTTGCACCCAAATGGTATTGAAGGGTGGGTTGTTCTCTGTCCCCATACAAAATTTGCTGGTGGTGCACATCCGCCTGCAGTGAGTTGGTGTTGCTGTGTTCCTCGCAGCCCATGCGGTTCACGAGCCAGAGGCTATCATAGACTGATCTCGGCATGCTGCAACAAGAATAATGTGTCACCTACAATAAAAGATAGGTGGTTTGTATTTGTACTGCTGTAGACTTGACTGAATGTCAACTCCAAGGCCAATATGGCCAGAAAAATCAACGAAGAGCTGACACCAATATTACCCAACACCGCCTTGTCGACTGCTTCAGGATGTGGAACTGTAACATCAAGGAGGACCGGAGGACCTACAGATGCATACGACACAAGATAACACACCCCCTGGACCCATCTCCAAAGCTCGATTACGCCACGACCAAGAGGATGCATAAACGAAACGATACGCTTTCAGAGAGCTCTGCACCAGAAGGTTTCAACGCCGCAGTTCTCGGCACCCCTTACATATATGTTTCTGCTTTTGATGAATCTTGATTGGAAAATCGGGCCAGGGGGGTGTGTTGTCTTGTGTCGTTTACCGTGTGCACGACACAAACTTCAACTTTTCAAAAAAAAAAAGACGAGCGCAGTTTGTACCAGTACGGTAGAGGTCCCTGTTTAGCGCCGGGGTGTGCGCAAAAATTTCACCGGCACTCTACCGGGCACCGGCACTATTCAAAGTACAGGCTTGATCAGTGTGCCGAAACACCGGCACAATACCGGCAACCGGCACTTTTCAACCGGCACAAAACAGGGACATCTACTGTAATGATCATAACAGCGGAGTGTCTGACACCCAACCGCACTATAGCGTATACGATAAACGGCCTTGAAACTACGGCAGGTCAACACGACCGCAATTGCTGTTGTCCAGTTTAAAGACCGCTGCAAGTGTACTTGCACAGCTCGTCCACCCCATCCATGTGGTCGACATGGGCAGATGCATAGATCTGCAGCAGCACTGGCGGAGTTCGAAAGGCTGCTGTCCACAAAAGTAGCCCCCAGGCGAGGACAGGCCAAGTGGACTTGGGATGTGGGGCATCCAGGCCGTTCTGCAATCGAGCAAACACCGCACAGCTTCCCCTATTTCACACCGCCCATCCAACCTCGTGCTGAACTCACCGCCCCGATCACCCGAAGGGCCACATCAACGTCCTCGCTGTTCTTGCTCCAGCACGTCGGTGAATAGGTGCCTCCCTTTCCATACATTGAATGTCCAATCAAGGCGTCAATCTCTTTTCCAAGGCCCTCTAGGTGGCCCTTGACAGCCCCATTGAGCTCCATAACATCTGCGTGCCACAGATAAGAGAAGAGACAGAGAGCCGTGCGCAGCAGCAGCAGCCAGCCAGTAGCACAATTAATTGGTAGGCAGCGAGCGGGCAACACAACATGGGGTTCAGCAGACAGCAGTATAGGCAAAAAGCGGGGGACTGGGTGCGAACTGCCGACGGCCGCATTGTGCGTCGCCACGTCGCGTGATCGCGTGATCCAATCCTCTCGTGCCTCCGTCCGGATGAGTGCTCTAGCTACGGGCGTCCGTGGCAGCTTACACTCAGGAGGAGTCAAAGCTTTGTTTGTTGGGGCGTTCGCTGTGCTCCAGGCAGAGGCATTCAGCACCGGAACATCGCCACGCATGTCGGTGGGACCTCGGTTCATGATAGGTGATGGCATACATTCAACGCGAGAATCACCCCGCTGTCAGATTCCACGCTCCTTGGGGCCGATTTCCAAAGCTGGAATACTCCACGACGACGAGGATGCGTGATCGAATGATATGCATGCGTTTGCGGGAAGCTATCAAACGAGAAGGGTCGAAGGCCGCCATTTTCGGCGCATCGTAATGCGTTCCGCGGCAGAGCTTTCCAGGGGGTATGGTATCTTACGAAACCTTGGTAAGGATACAAATGTGCCTGTGTACACCGGAACCAATCAATACTATGGCCTTTTCTAGGAGTGGGAAGGACGAACAGCATTCATTCGCATGGAAGGTTTGTAAACAAGATGTAGCTGCTGTAAGATTCAGCGGCATGCTTCTAAAACTGGGGTCTCCAGGCTCGCGCTCACGTGCATGTCTGGCGTTGTAGATCTCCGACAGGTCATATGACACAATCTACGAAACAGTCTGAGGTGAAAGTGTTTCGGTGCGGCAACTTCGTCAGAGGCCCAAAGAAAAAGAAGGCCTTCATTGCGTAGTTGCGTATAGAGTGACAAGACAAGACGATCCCCGCGCGGCATGTCCATCAACACATATCATCCGCGTATCCCTCGGAGGCCCCGTAAGCAATGCTCTGCCGAGGACCTCAAACAAGCATTCCACCCTTTATTGGCAATTTACATGGTGAGCAGACCCAGCAGCGTAGTAGAGATTTACAACCCAATACCTCATGGTTGACCAGAAGATGAAGAATCCTGTCTACAGAGACAAACCTCGAGAGACTACCACCATAGACTCGTCTCCGTACATCACAACTTTACTATGCGAGCATCCGCAGTTCTCAGTGTTGTCGCTCTCGTGCAATACGATCTGACTTCGGCAGAACCTGTTTTCGCAGTCAGAAATAAGAATGCGTGCAACAAGGCAACGATCACCAAAAGCTCCTCCAGTACAAATGAGGTCAAAGGTCACCGCAGTGAGTGATAGACAAGTGCTTGTCGTAGGCCGCACTTGCAGACCCTTGCGTCGAACACACCAGCATCCTTCCTGTGGGCTCATTGGTACCAGTACATTTTATAATTGCATCAGATTCCCATCTGCATATTTGGGGGGAAGGGAAACCTCCATTCCCGTATGCCTCGGGCCAGGAACCACCGGAAAGGCTGCGTGAATCGTGCGGCCCCGAAACCCTAATCCAGGAGATGGACGACGCCGGCATCGGGGGTGCGTTAATTGTGCAGGTCAGCTTGCGTTTAGGATTGACAAAGTACACCAGGCAGCAGCTGGTATGTGGTGCGATGAAAGCACACAAGCCGCACTACTGAGCGAGTAATCTCGGTCCCGTCTAGCGTCATGGTAGTTAGTAGTTGCGCTTGACACGTTAGGCTGGATTGTTGCTTTTCCCCCTGTCCATGGTCCATAACTCCAGCGTACGGTCGGCATTGAGCCCAGAAAAATAGTTTATACGTCAATGATGCCTGGATCTTTCAGTCACCCAACCGTATACTGACACGGGATACATGAACGCCATGTATTTTCCCGGCGCTGTTAAGCCAAATCACCCAACCAACGTACATATGCATGTCTGTTTCTGGTTCCGATTTCGCCCTGTCACGTAGCCCATCAACTACAAGTTCGACCACTCTTACGTGTTGGACGCCATGAGCAAGTGGCCGGGCAAGGTGAGATACTGTAGGTTGAAGGTTATTGAACTCCGCGAATCATCTTTGCGGTGCTACGCTTGCACTGCTGTGTATTCGAGATCGTCCGCGTACGATTGCCGCCACGAAGCTCCAGGTTACTGCTGGACGTTCTTGTGGAGAGGACTTGGTTTTGTAGCGTTTGCCCACCTGCACGTAGCGAATCCCCCTCGAGCCTCTTGAACGCATGTTTTCTTCCCCTCCAAGAGCTACCAAATTCCATGTATTGGTCTGTCTGCCTTTCTGAACTCTAGCACGACCTGTATTCTGTCAGCCTGGCCCACCAACCAGAGCCTACGAGTGCGAACATTGTGGGCATTTTGGTTGATTCCTTTCGGTCAGTTGAGCAACATGGTCGTCCACGCTTTTCAATTGCAGCACAGCCAGCTTTCTCTGCCGTGGTCACATCTGCGCAGCGCACACTTGGCTCATAGTGGTGCCATCTACCCTCCTTCTCTCACAATCGCGTGTCTTGATGTTCCTCTATCTCTCCACAGTTCAAGGGCATGTGCCTCGCCAACCCAAACTTGAGCCCCCACGATGCATGCGCTGAGCTGGAACGATTGCATGACCAGGTGCGAGATACGGTAGTGCGTCCCAATGTACGTGCGGGCAACGCTGCCGGGGAAGTCCATGCATAGACTTCGATTGTGGCATTGGTTGCTTTGCACACGTCACAAAAAGGCAAGAAACACGCTTCCGTGGGCTCCTTGACGATGTATGTTCGCTGCAGGGGGCCTAATTCTCTCGCTCTCTGGTGCAATTGCTGTGGTGTGCAGGGTTTTTGTGGCGTGAGGTTCAATCCCTACCTTTGGCCGCAAGGAGGCGAGGGCATGAAGGATGACACAGGCGTGGCACTCTTTCGAAAGGCGGGCGAGTTGGGCCTTCCAGTCGGCGTGATGTGCTTCAAGGGGTTCGGACGTCACGTTGAAGAGATTGAGGCGTTGCTGCTCTCATCACCGCAAACCAAGGCAAGGTGTCCATGTATGCGGTGCTCTAGTCCCGGTGGCATGTATGGGTGCATATGGCGATTCTGTACAGTCCTCGTCATGCTCTTGAGTCAGGTTCTGAGTGGAGACGTCGATGATTTGCTCAGGGGAGCTGTGCGCTTGAAGAAAAGCCGAAGAGGCCAACCGCGACGGCTGTGATGTTCTTGCGCCTACTTGCTTGCTTCCAACGAGTCTTCCCTTCACCGTCTCCAACCGTGAACTGTTATCCTTCACGGGTGTTTCCTACCGTAGCTGGTGGTGGATCACTTTGGGTTCTTCCTCCAGGATGGAGAGATCGACGAGACGGCATGGGAGCAGGTGCTAGCGTTGTCCAAGTGAGTCAGTTTTTCTCGTGCGTGTCCCTGCCTAGTTTGGGACGTGGTCCATTCGGATGGACCCGGTGGGTCCTTCAATCATGACTACGAACTGCTCACGATCCCCCCAAGAGTACTTGGGCTGTTGTCTTGAACATGTCACAGTTAACCATCACGGTTCGCCTGACACACCGACACCCCGCCTTGCTTGATTGACGGATATGTTGGCAGGCATCCATCAGTATTCATAAAGACCAGCGCTCTGTTTCGGGTCGCCAAGGTACGCTCGATTTTTCTCTGGGTGCACATGAGACACTTTTCGAGACTTGTACGTGTGTCGCCGGTGTGGTTTGCTTTCCGGACGACAAAAAAGCGGTAAACTCCTGTGGGTCGTTGTTGCGTTGATTTCTTCTATGCTGCACACGGCCTACATATACGCTGATTGCCTCGTAATCTGGGCTTGCGAATACGTAAGATGCTGTGTATACGTTTTGTGCGACCCCTTGGTCTGGCTGGCAGTGATCCTAAACAGCCGTTATGCCTTTGCGTAAGGTGTAGTTCTGTTCTCGTGTTAAGTTTGTCGTTCTTCTCGCATCGGCCTCTGCAAGCAGCAAGCTTTGCCCACGTCCGCTCGTTCTCTGGGCTCTGCGTTTGTGACGGGGTTAAACGGCCTTCATCATGACCTCTTGTCATCGTACGTTGAGTGCTGCCCTCCTTACCCGAGGTGAACGTTCTCCGGTTGGTGTAATATTTCGCGCTTTCGCTTATGGCTGCTCCTCTTTGTGTTGTCCTCAGGACCCTTATCCGTACGAGAGTCTCAAACCTCGATTCGCAGCGTTGATCGAGCACTTCGGCTCGAAAAGGCTTTTGTGGGGAAGCGACTTCCCCTTCGTCTCGGACGGGCAGTGCGGGTGAGCAACCCGTTTCGTCTGTGTTCATGTTTATGTCGAACTTTCCGGTTCTTTTTGCTCGAGAAGTCGTCGGGTCGACCCTCGAGAAACTGCCTTGTTCGAGGGGTTCCGAGGCGACCACAAGGAATCGCGTTTTTGGTCGTGAAGTTGTATGCTGGTGCCTGGATGTTGCAGAGGGGACATTTTCGTGAAGCTTGACCCGCGCCATCCTCCTTCTTGACCGTGTCCCTTCTCGTTACCCCCCGCCCGGAACGTTGTGTTGCTATGCCATTGTTTGTCGTATCACCAGGTACGGCCCGGCTAAAGACGCTGTGTGCAATGCCATGGGTCTCAACGAGGAGGACGTGCACAACATCACCGGCGGCACGGCACAAGCACTCTTTGGCTCTTGGGTGGATGATGCGTAGCGCTAGACTGCTTTATTTTGATGCTTTTTCGGACGTAGTTCAGTATATACGGTAGGTGGCAACATGTTCTTTTGTATTTCAGCTTTGAAGGGTTCTGTCGTGCTTCTTTGCAGTCGGTGCAGTCGCGGTATCCTCACCGCTTGCCTTCGGGGCTGGGTGGTTGTTCTGGAGAGGTACTCGAAGCAATGCTAGGCATGAGGCTAAATGCGAGCTTCTTTCCTGCCGTCGCGCTGGTTGAAATGTATGTCACGTGGCATGCTACCCACAGGTGACATCACAATGTAATTTGTGCAGGGGGGTTTCAAGGAACGATTGTGGAACGGGTCAGTACATGAAGCAATGAAGCGGCTTGACCTGACCCCATCCAGAAGTTCGGTGAAATATTTGCTTGAGCTGTACGTGTAGTCTAGGTGTCGACTCTAAGCACCGACGGGTGGACGGCGGAAAATTGACATCCGATACGTGATATTTTCGGGGTGGCATATCAATGTGTCGAGCTTGTCATCAGGTTGAGTTCTGTGCTCCGTACGATGTACTTCGAAGTACAGGGTTAGTTAGACCCCAAGGCACGCCAGTCCACGGTGCTATCTTGTCATTTCGAATCATACGATCAACGAAAAAATGCCGTTGTCTTTCGCGGGTTTCGAGTGCTTTGTGCCATCTGTTACTGCATCAAGATCGGGCAGTGAACGTGTTGAAAGCGCTTCCATCTAAAAAAATGAAGGATATTATTTTGTGAGCCTTTTGGAGTTTCGTGCCGAGGCACTCGGCGATATCGTGTCCGGCCAAGCACATGGGTGGCATTGAGCATTGTGTTTTCTCGTCCGAAGGTGTGCTGTTGCTGGGGATTCACGGTCGTTCGGCGCGTGTACTTGTAGCTGCCGCTTAGGCTGCTTGTGCGTGCAGCACGAAACTTTCACATGGGATCAAGCAGCACAATGAAGCATCACAGGAAGCAACACTGAAAGGATCGACGTTAGACATGGTGAACCAAACTGAACAAACACTAGAGCATCTCGCTCAGATGATACAAAAGCGGACGCGGCTCTTCCAAGGCTACGGCAAATCTCCGTCGGCTCCTCGGTTTTGTGCTTGCTCGGCTTCTCCCCCATCTCCTTCGGCGGCCACGCCGTCCCCCGTGTTTATCGATTTGCTTATCAAGCCACCCGCTCGGAGGGACTCTTTAAGCTGTGCGGCGTGGTGTTCGAGCTGTCGAATCTGTTGCTCTTGCATTTCAATCTTTGTGTGGCGAACATGAATGATTTGGGGCACGCGGGGGACAGACAGCAATGGAGTGATTTAGGGTGGGCGCCAAAACATCTGACGAGGAAGGCGTGACAGCAGGTTCGATGCAGCAGCTCTTGACATTTACTTTGAAACGACAGAGAACAACTTCATCGCGTTGTCGGCAGTTGTCCTGAATCAGGCGACGGTTGGCCTTGCCTGGCACTTCTGCATTGTGTACATGTACTACCCGAACCACAAGTTCTGCATGGATTGAGGACGGCCCCCCTCCACCTGTCTCTTTCTACCGTGTTTGAAGTCGACGAAACAAATAAATCTACGTAAGAAAGGACATATATCTACTCCGCAGCTGTCCCCCCCTCCCAAAACTCAACCCAAAACTGCCCCACACGCGGCGAGCGGTTTAGGGGCCCCGAGGGGACAAAGATTTCGCTGAAAATAACATGCAATCACAAACTAAATAGGGGCATTTGTAGGAAAAACCTCAATCCTGCCCACAGAAAACTGACTGAAGCTGGACACCTTCCTACTTACGTAGATTAGTTTCCAAACTGACCAGTAAAATGCGGACGTGAGTGACACTCTACATCACAAGCTATGTGTCAAACATACTAGTCGCTTTAAATGCTCGAGGCGGGTCATCTGCAGCGAAAAAAACTCCCACGCTAGAAGCCCTACACCCCCCGACGATTCTCTTCCCCTGGTCCAGGTTCTCACCTCCCTCCACATCTGCTGCTGCTCCAAAACGTGCCCCTCGTTGCTCGTGCCGGTAGCAGCCAATCGTTGTTGCTCACCAACCCCCGCTCCCTCCATACTATTCTGCCGAACCGCTCCGGAAGGAGGCGTAGGGTGCCACGCAGGGCCGACCAAGGCCATTGTGGAGGCGTTTGTTGAGCTCTCGGTAAACCGCTCCACCCTTCTCCCCTTGGACAGGTTCTTGCTGCTAGCACCCCCTTGCCCGCCTGGCTTGACCTGTCCCTGTTCCAGGAGCGCGGTGTGTTCAAATAGGGGGAAGCAAGCGTGATCCAGTCAGACGTTCGGCAGGTGTCAGAAACGACATTGGGGTGGACGCAACAGTCACGTTAAGTTCAAGGGGGGAGCGGGGGGGGGTCGATCAGAGGGCTTGAACACGTAGAATCTCAGGGGTTCTGTTGTCCAAACGAATATATCCAAGTCGCACGGTGCTAAGAAGAGCACGTAATATGCCAGCTTCACCCAAGCAGTCAGGCTCTCACGCCGAAAAGGTGTAGACGTATTGCGGAGAAGTATGCATGAAACATCACGGTCGACACAAACTCTCTCTCTCTCTCTCTCTCTCTCTCTCTCTCTCTCACCTTGCCATCGTTTTTGTCTCGCCCCGCTCCAGTGTCACCCAAGAGCGCTCGGAGCGGCTGGTTCATATCAACATCCGGGTCTCCCGCCATGACCTGACAACACGACATGGGTATGATATTGGGTGCCTTTTGTCACAGGAGCAAGCACACTTGATAAACGGGATGCAGAGCTCGGCGAAATTCTCGCTGAAACACATATCAGCAGACAAGCTTCAGTCCTTTTGCACTCTCTCCAGCCAATGAGGGTAAGACAGCGAAATCTGGCCTGGTAAGCTTGTGAAACACTGTGTATGTCAGAGTTCTCAGGTTGGGGTCAGCAGTTGGTGCGTTTTATAACACGTTTCCGCTGTTGCTGACCGCATATTCCTTCCTAATCTGAAAAAGTCAGTGTGTCACAGGCGGCCGCGATATCAGGCGGGACCTAGCGAGTAAGAGATTTTCGGAGATTTCCAAAATATTCTCGGGGTGGCACGGACAACTATGTACATTCGCGAAATATCGCACCCGCTCGACCCCACTCTGCTGCAGAGAGAGCGCCTTGGCTGTTCGTCTGAGGTCGTTGATCTCCCTTGTGAGCATGACGTTCTCCCGGTTCAGCCGAGACCGGTCCTGGTGAAACATGCGCATATCCTGACCCAAACAAAGCACACGCACACGTGACGTCAAGCACCATATAGCAGGGGTCGCGATGGGCGGGAGCGCTGGTGTCATGGTGAGGGCAAATCGAGTTTTGCGCACTTGTACTATTTGTCCGTTGTGCATTCGCGTACCGATACGATTCATTTGAAAAAGTCGCGTTTGCTTGGGAGTGGAGGTCGCGCAATGCTGGTCTCGGTGCACGCCTAAGAGCACGACGCCAATACTGCATGGGAGTATCGGGGGCATACAACGAGCAACGAGGGGTCTCCGTACCCTCAGGATTACCTGCGTGTCGATCGGAAAGCCAACATACCCTCTGTTTTCTCGTAACGGACCTTGTCGATGCTGCTCTTGAGAGCCTCGACATTCCGCTCCAGGTGCTTTCTATGGCGATTGTACTCCCGCTGCACATCGCCATCCTCTCCCCTCTTGACCGACGCGACCGGGTTGTCCTGAAACAGGTTGCCCGCCGTAAGGAAACATGCCACTCCCATCAATACACACAAGCACAACCAACGCAGCGGCGATGCCTGATAGTCAGGCGAGGAGAACACCATCTTTTTCCAGCTTTTGTGGACTGCGTAACCGCTCTAAGCACACATAACCAGCTGATTAAGTTGCGGGATACCAAGAGCGTCTGTAAAGGGTACAAGGGTGCGTCCCTACACGAACAAGGCACGAAGGTGTCACGCATTGAAACTTAGCATGTCGGTACATAGTTCACAGTGGATGACGTACAATTTCGGGGAAAGATCGTCTGTTTGGTACAGCGGTCGGTTCGGGCGGAGTTTCTCCCAACGCGGTCGAAAGAGGCATCGAAATCTCATCCGGCGGCCATTCAGTCATTGTCGTTGCCCAGCAGCTACGTTACGCTGTTGTGTAAGCCCTTGGCATACTCTCCGTTTCGCGTTGGTTCCATCTTGTCGTGAACCTGGAGCATACGTCATGGCAATCGTTCGGAATCTGCAAAAATATCCCTTCGATCTGCGATATGATAGAACAAGCAAGTGAACATAGGCATCAACCGCGACGCTCACGTTGTTGTATAGCTTGTAGAGCGCCACCATGGCCCTCTTGAGGGCCCGGTTGTCGTCCGTCGCCATGTTCTGTCAAGCCATGTAAAGTCAAATCACGTGAAGTCGAATCTGTCAAGGCAAATCATTTTAAAGGCAATTCTTTCGTTTGAATAGACTAAACGTTTTCGACGAACGGTCTCCGAAGGACCAGTGATCACCACATAACACGGTCTGATCGAGGCCAGATTTCCCCCCTGACCAAACGCGCCGAACGATGCCCTGTACCGCCACGCCTTCTTCCTCGCGGAGACTCCGACCCCAAGCGGATTGTGCACCCGTCCAGTGACGACTGGTTGACGTGAGCGGACTAGTATGGCTAGCCAGGTGTTCAGCTGCAGATACAAGAATTCGTGCAATACCTCACTACGGCCGTCAAGATCGTTCGTGCCTTGTATCTCGGTGAAGCCTACATGGTAGACTGCTACTACAGCTGCATTGCAGCACCTGCACTGCCGCCCTGAGGTCGTTGTGGAAATGCTCTGCGAAACGAGCCCCCTCCTCTAGCCTCTTGTTCTGCGTGTGAAGCTCCTTTTGCATGCCGTCCACCTTGAGCCGGAGCTCTCCGATCATCAGGTCGAGGGCAGAGTTGCTTTTGTGGTACTGCGAAGAGAAGACAATGTGCAAGAAGGGAAGACGTCTGTCTGAACGAGGACAGAACGTGCCCTTGTTTAAAACCTGGTACATAGTAGCGTCACGTGCGCCAGATGTTATCATGGTTCACGTGTACCTCCTTGGCGTACAGACTATTAGGCCTATGTTGATACCGCCATCTTACTAATTACGAGGTGCACTCTCAGGAGTACTATGCGAGGGCCACTGAGGACGGTCGTGCTATAGTAGTACCTGCTCAAGCTCAAGGTCCATCTCTTCGATCTGGTTGCGCATGTGCGCTATCTCGTTCTCCCTCGGCTCTATCTGGCGCTTGAGCTCCTTGATCTTGTAGTCCAAGACAAACTTGAACTTTTCCAGCTGCATCATGGAAACAATTTGATTTCAGACGGTATGCCGTCAGCAACAAAACATAGGTGCCAGCTATATTTCCATCCCCGATCCTCAACAAGCCAACGCTGAACGGCCACTTCACGGAATGTGTGCGCGGAGCCTGCGACGACGATGATTGATGCAATCAATCCCTCTAGGAATCCGATAGCTCCGTGCAATAACTATCACTCATGGTACTATCAACAGGACCACGCCAATTTTTCCGTTTGAGCAGAAGCACGATACCAAGCGCAGAGTATGCCCCTTCACTCCGGTGGTAACAGTTTACGTTTTTCCAGTGCTCTTGCGCATTGTAGCGAGAGTTGTGCATCATCCTGGACCCTCACCTCTTGGTTTTTCTTCTTGAGGTCGTAGATGCGTTTCTCCTTATCGGCGATGGTCTCCTCTCTCTCGCGAATCTCTTTCTTGTGCCCCTGATGTTGAAAACAACAAAGCAAGCCCAAAACGTTGTCGACGGCGTACTTTCGTCTGAAGCACGGTCACATCTGCAGCCGCTGACTAGCTCACGAACTACTCGGCGCACAACGCGATGCATTCACCATTAGTTAGATTTCTTACGCAACCATTAAACTCCAGGGAACCACGACAGCAACAAGGTTGCACAACCAGGGCTGCTGCGATACTAGTTTCGGCGGAATTCTGTGTCTTGGTTTCGTTCCCTGAGGTTGTGTGTGTATCTCTGAACGCCCAGCCCACCTGGATGTCCTTTTCGAGAGACTTGATGGTTTCGAAGAGATCTCTTTGTCTCTCTTGCAGGGTGGTCGTGTCCTCCTTCTGATCCTCCACTTGCCTTCGCACGCCGTCACGCCGGTATTGCATGAGGGATCGATCACCATTGCCGTCGGTGCCACGATGATGGTGTGGTAATGACAGCTAAACAGGGATCACACCGAGACATCAGTGACCGTATTTTGTAGCTTTCGGCTTTCGTGAGGTCTTTCACTCCGCTCGCGCACGGCACGAAAGCCAATCGACCTCACAAGTTAAGTCAGTTGTTGCTTGTCAGGATCTGTCGGCAACGGCAACGACGAGTATCGCATGACAGGCACAGTTGATGCAGTGACAAAAAAGTAGTTGCGTCTGAAGTCTGCCAACCCCGCTTCACTTCACCTTGGTAGGTGAACTTACTTGCTCAGGCGTGAGAACTTCTTCTTCATGATGCCGTTCTCCCCCTTGAGCCTTAGCGTCGCCTCCTTTTCCGCGGCCAGCTTGGCCATGAACTTGGTCTGAACGACGGAAGGAATGGTGAAGGACGATGATGAAGCAAACACGTGCCGGGGCGTAGCATGTCAGAGGTGGTTGACACCCTTTTCCGTCCTTAAGTATCACGAAAAAGATCACGCCGTGGATGCAATATTTGATACAACGGGTTACCCGCTCGGAGGTGGCGAGTGGCGGGTGCATGGTGGATGTTTGGTGGGAGCGAGCCCCTGCGTTCCGCCATCTGCTAGTTTTGCCTTTGGGGCCGCACCGTCAAGCAAACCTGGGCTAGGATGGCCTACAGGGTGGGTGTGTCATGTGGCAGTTGTGATACAACCACTCCAGTTCACGCCAAACTCTGACGAGAAGTTTACGTCTGATATACACAGCTGATGATGTCAACGCCACAACAAGTCCCGAGTATTCCTTGTCGTGGTCCTTGGTGATAGCACCGTGCGCACCAACGCCGCGACTGGTAATATTCCGCCGTGACCGGTGCAACGACGCAGCTACGTGCTTCGATGAACACCTGGCAAAAGTTATGCGCTTGGGTGTCACGCTCCACGTACACCACGCTAAGGTCCCGTACCCGACAGCAAAGAATGATACTCTACCTTGATGTACTCCGTCTCCGTGTCCGCGTCTTCTTCTACGAGATTTTTGAGGTTGTCGAAAGCGGCGGCCATTTTCTCCTTTTCCAGGGCTAGCTTTCGCTGTTGAGACTGCTCTTCCTCCACCTTTGGCGCCAAAACAGCGGACATGAGCAACAACATACCGGGTAACCGCGTGTTGACCATCTCGCGGCTCATGCAGACCCTTGACCAAGTTAGTCTCGCGTTTCATCGGTTGCCTGACAAGCTCATGGCATTAGATGCAAGAGCTCGATTGGGGGTAAATGTTTTGATTGTCAAGCGCTGATGAGGTATCCTTCCGTTCAATTTTTTGGGCCCTCTTTTTCGGGTTCGGCGCTACGCACGGCAGGTCGTGCCGCTCGCTGTGCGCACATCAAAACTAAATAGCGCAATTCCACGAATGCAACAAGGTACGTTGAAAGATATCGTCGTTGTAGACATCGACACCCCCCCCTTGGAACAATCACAGATGTGAAGACTCGAGAATATCCTCGCTGTTGGCACCAACGTCTATATCCATGATGACGTGTGACTTGATATTGAATGGCGGTCTCGAGAATGATGCTCCGTGAACTTGTTCTACACTCGATATAGAAGCGGTTGGCCGATTCCAACGTCCGGCTCATCAAAAATAATATGGTCTTGTCGTGCTGCTGTGTTGCCGTTCATGCCGCTTTCCCAATACCTACTTGTGAGCCAGTGGTTTTGTCTCTACGTGTTCGCCAAAGAGCAATAGACGAAGAAGTCCAACCTACAACAACTGATACACAGCTTGAAATGAGAAGTTACGAAGAGATTTATGTTCACCTTTTTGTCGTACTCCTCGATAACCTTCTGCAGCGCCTCTGTGTGAGCGTCCACGAGACTCTGGTTCTGATGAACGATGATCAATGAGCAAGAAACGATGACTTGAGACCAATGCGCAACGAGAAACAATTCCTACTGTCACCGTAAATATCAAAATGTTGGGGACTGCAGCAGAACAGGGCACCATCACGGCATATTTCAGCGGCATGCTACATCTGTAGATGGTTGAAGGGATACCAGCACCTGTGGGGCCAACGTCGTGTACTACGCAAGTATACCACTTTGTCATGGAGTGCCCGTTGGCAACAAAACCCTAAACTACCACGCAGTGGGCGCTATTGTGGTGAAATAGTTCACCCCAACGATCCAGAAGCACAACCTCTGGGGCTTAGTGAAAAAATGCCTAACTGAGCTTGAAGAAAAAGGCGGAGAAGACAACTCGCCCGGGAACTGCGCTATGGGTTGTGATGTGACCACGCCGGCTAGCATGCAATGTCGATCAAGAGCTTCGAGGCCCGAACGGAGTCGCATCCTACTCTACAGCACCACATCCCTGAATTGATACTCTATCACTACACCCAGGGCGACCACTCGCCCATTTTCACTCTTTCTCTCGATGTTTTGGGGGTACTGGTTTGGACATGAAACAACCGTGGCTGTGCTGGCCTCTAGCAATGCTCACAAGAAAGCATGGCTGCCTGTATCAAGGTGGACGACTGGCGCAACCCGAAACGTGCCAAGTGATGTCATAGACTACCGATATGTGAATGACGCATGCCCCTTTACCTCGTCGTCCCACTTCCTGCTGAGCTCCTCTTTCTCCTGCACCATGGCCTGGTAGCGGTTGATCTCGGCGTTAATCTTATTTCGGTGCTGCGCCTCCAGCCCAGTCCTCTCCTGCGGTGCAGTAGATACAGGGCACGCGTTTTAAAAATTGTACATGATGAACACCTTCGGTGTACGAAGAAGTTGTGTGTGACGAAACAACGGTGTTGCATAATACGGCGTAAGAACATGAGATGTGAGACGGCAGAGGTCAAACTTTGTTTCCGCGCGTGGGCGTCATCTGACGGGAGCGTCGTTGGCTAAACGCGTTGCTGCTCGTAACTTTCGGCGTGCCTGGTCTTGTGGTCGAGGTATCACTGCCTAGAGACTGCCTAGAGATACATTTGTGAGTCAAACGGAGCATGTGGGCAAAAAAATGGGGAACCTACCTCGGCGTGTTGATCCTGCAGCTGCGCGATCCTCTCCTCGTACGTCAGTTCCATATTTTTTCTCTCGTCTAAGAGCTCTCCGTAGCAGCGACGGTCCATCTCCACTTCCACCGTGAACTTATCCGTGATCTCTCGAGTCTGGTGTAATTGGTACAACCAATCACAGGGAAATTGTTTCAGAGTCGATTGACAGGATGGCCCTCTTGATATCCTCGAACTTAAAACACTCCAAAGCTAGAGCTACTGATGGTTCGAAAGTAAAAAGGTGTGTGCTGCCTCTATGTTTGATACCCCGTCATCTGCTCCTATCTGATACACCCTCCGAGGCTTATCGGCTACATCGTCACGATGATTCTCCGCGCAGTGTCTCGAAGAGACAAAGCTACTAGCTTTTCTCCACCTCGTTCGTTTGTTGCTTTCCTCGGAAAACTCGCAGAGCCAATAAGGTCGCGGAACCAACTTGTACTCTCACCCAACTGTTGTGGACAAGACACACATCAACAACAACAACAACAACAACAACAACACATGCAGCCCGTCTGTATACTGTTGTGAACCCTCACCCCGGATACCCACTCGTACGTTGGCCCCTGTCAGGTGAGATTCTCATGGCCTTCCACGTCTTCGTGCGATAGCCTGCATTAGAGGCTTACCTTTTCCTTGTAGTTCATATCCTTTAGGCGGAGCTGGTACTCATTGTTGAGCATGAGCTCGTCCACAGCGTTCTTGAGCCCCTGCATCTGCTTGGACTGGACCTTAATGTCGGTCTTGGTAACAAGGATTTCCTCCATGTACTCCACGGCATCCCTTTCTCGGGCCTGACAACACAAGAATGCAGCAACGACGCAAGCGTCGAACAAAGCACAACAATCGTTCCATCGCAAAAGATCATCACGCGACCAAAACATCGTTCAAAGTGTTTGCCCTACTCCGCCCAATCTGGCTTGGCACCCCTAAACCTCAAACTCCATATATACGGTTTAAACATTATACAGGATGGGCCGCAAGGACGACATTTTCGGAATCAATGTACATGTAGTGCATCCATATTACGATGCATGTTGCTTTGTGCGATATGAATGTTAGAACCGTCGGGTATGCGCGGCGAGCCGTGATCGTCCCCTAGAGCCGCAACGCGGCATACAGCCATGTCTCTGTTGCGCAAGTATCAACACTCAATTGACATGCGAGGGTAGGCACTATGTGTATACTGCCAGGTTTTGCGTCTTGCGCTAGTAGTCCAAACGAGCCAGCCCTCTTTCGAAAAGCACGCAGCAACCATTTCTTCAGCATTGTTTCGCCACCCGAACACCGTGTGCGGGCAAGAAATTTGGTGCTGAGTAAAGAGAGCAGGACTAGTCTGCTCCGCATCGATTCTATCGAAGGCACTTAAAAAAATAATGTTCAACTCATACTTCACCCACTCCACACACCTTCCTTTCGGCAGTCTTCGGGTCCTCGGCGACGCAATACATGGCCAGAACGCCATCCTCGCCCCCGACAAACAGCAGACTGCCGTCGTGATTGAGCACCATGCAAGACACCGCCAGAGACAAGCACCCGTACTCCTGGAAATTCCCGCTGAGCTCGCCTCCCGTCCCCCCGCCACTACCACCAGCTCCCCCCCCTCCCCCTCCGGCCCCTCCGCCCGCTGGGCCTGATCCGGCGGACGCCCCTTGACCGATGGGGTAGGCGCGGATTCCTCCAGGTATCCCTGGCTGTGCGATGCCTGCGAAAAGCATCTTGACTGTGTCAGCCACCTGTTCCAGGGGGGGGGGGG